ATTAAACAAATAATACATAATCTTTATTTTTAACACTCAAGCCAAACCAGAATGGACTGTCTTTTCATGCACATGAAGAAAAAAGGTTAACAAAAACAAAACATACCCTTGGTAAATGTGCAGAGTATTACTACACATTCCAAATGAACGATGAAGAGTTCATATGCTTATAAAACTCTCCTCTAAGCAGTTTTTCTGGCTTAGATACACATTTATGAATACAAAGTTTCTGTGAGGCTTCATTTATTTAGCCCAGAGAGTGATTTTATTACCAATTCTTCTTCTGCTTCCATTTTTGTGATTCTCCATGTTGTTTAGGAAACTTGGCTTAAGATGTCCAACCTGGTATGTTGGAGCCTGCCAGTAATCCTAGCTACTTGAGGTGCGGAGGCAGGATTGTGGTACAAGGTTAGCACTAACAAAATTAGTTCAAGACCATGTTTGAAAAAACAAAACTAAAGGGCTGGGGGTATCACTCAAGTGGAGGCCTTGAGTTCATTACAAATCCAGATAGATAGATAGATAGATATGTAGGTAGGTACAAAGACAGACAGACACAGTGTACAATGCTAAGATTTCTATTGAGAAAATAAATTACTCTTAAATAACAAAGATTATATCAATTATATATATTCTATTATGTAATAAGTGGCCTTTAAAATAAGGATAGCTAATTATTTGTAGGATATTTTGTATTTAAATTTTGTTCTGGTGATATTGCAAAACATCAAAGCAAGTTCCAAGGACATTAACTCTGATGGTTTTGTTACTTTGGAGGAGGGCATGTTAATTACATACAGGAACAGATTTGACTCATCAGTTCTACTGGTAGAGCCCATCATTCTCTTGGGTTTATGGGAATATATGCCATCAGGCAGTAGATTAATAAGTACCAAAAAACCATATGAAAAGGTCATTTTAAGTCTCAGATCAAAACTTGTGGTCTTGCAGCTTCTGCAATCTTGCAGCTTCTTGCAGCTTCTCTTTGGTAACATGATTACTTAAGAGTCACACCACTGAGATCCAGACTTAGATAATTTTGAATTGTCTCAGAGGCATGAGCTCTGACCTTAGCCCAGTCCCCACCTGCAAGGAAAGGGGTGGATCCTCATGGATCCATTGTAGCAGACAAGCCCATCATGGGGACCATACATGATGGGAAAATATAATAAAAGAGAGGACTCTTTTTTCTTCCAAAAAGTAGACTGGGTTAGAGCCTGAACCACAGCACTTGGGAGGGCTCTTTATGGGGAACCACAGCAGAAAGGAATTCTCTCTGCTGGTGAATTCTTCTGGCCCTTTGCCCTGCCATTTCTGGTGTATTTCAATTATTCCTGCAACCAGCTAACCCCTCTCCACCCACCACACACCCACACTGCTCCTTGGAAACATGTTTTACTGGAATCAGGGCAACCTGGGAAAATTAGACTTTAGACATTGGGAATCAAATTGTCTGCGTATTATGAATGTCAGTGGAATATTAGAGGCATGAAACCAGAGTGATTCTGGCTTGAGGGGGGTCTTCAAAGGTTTTGGAATAACAGATTTGGACTGTGGGAAGTACATTCAAACCAGGAGGCAAAGATGGGATGGAGCAGGAAGTTGTTCAAGAGGGATGCCCAGTGGAATGGCATGCATTACAGCATGCTGTTGGGAGCAGGTTTTGCCAGAAGAGGCAACACTGCTTTCCCTCCTGACCTGGAACATCTTAGCCCCTGCAGCATTCTGCAGATTGGCTTGCACTTCCTTCCCTTCTCCCTCATGGGAACAAAGTCCCCAGTCTCTGAAAAGTAATGCTAAGAAAACAAACACCACAAAGGCTGGTAACAGGCATATCTCTCTGAAATGTTTTTTTTTTCTTTTTGTGACCATCTAGGCTTAAGGAGGAGGGGGTCCCCTGGCTCCAGGAGTCAGCAGGGTCTCTTTGTAGTAGGCATCTGTCTGTTTGGCCAGATGTCCTCCCAGGGGAGGGCAGAGAAGGAAAGATAAAACAAGGGTTCTTATTAAAAATAAGTCTCCAGGGGGAGAGAAAACAAGCCAGAGAAAGTGTGTCAAGTGGAAAGAGTGAGCCAGGCAGTGCCATCTGATATTGATTAGTGCCGATACAACACATGCCACAAGGAAATGTCCCTGCCTTTCGGAAGGTGAGCCAGCGTTGGCTGGCTGAGAGTGAATGTGGATGGATGTCATGGACACAATATGCCCAAGGGCAACCCAGTGCCAGCACACAGGAAAGGACAGGAGGGACAGGGGCTTGCAGAGGGACAGGACACATGGCTTCTTCCCCCTCATTGGCCTTACTTTTCCCATCAATAGTTGTGACTTGATGAGCTCAGTGCTATTTTGCAGAGCATCTGTATAACCTGGGAACTTGTGAACCAGCCTCATTCTCAGGCCTCCTGGATCCGAAAGTCTCTGTGTTCATGAGTCTTTGCATAACTATGATGCACTCCAAAGTGTGAGAGGCTGTTCCAAGCTATGAAACTGAAGGTGGGGTTGGGAGGGCCTTCCCCTAAGGTCTATAGCCAGAGCATTAGAATGACTGCGGAGCCCAGAGAGCTAATCTGACTCGTTGTTATGTGCTGTTTCCATCATTCTGTATTAAACATGGCTGAAGAACTCCTTTCACTGAAGAAGGGCATTGTGGGTAAAATTTCAAACCAGAAGGTAGAAACCTGGACTATAGCTAACCCCTCATGACTGCCCCATCTGAAGTTATGAGCACAATCCTAGACGACCAGTCCTATCTGTACAGTCATTCGAGGCGACATCATTAGTGAGACACACTCACACATTAGTGAGACAGGGCCGGGACACCAGGAGTCTCCTGATATTCTCATCTGTTATACAATGTGATTTTCACATTAAAAGCTGCATTGTCTTCGTCTTCTGTGTTTCTAATCAATCAGATGGAAAGTTCTTTATATGGCTTCATTTCTGGAGTCCCTTACACCAGAGTGTAAGAGAAGAGACAGAAGACGCTGTTGACCTTTCTTTCTCTTTTTTTGCTTTCCTTCTTCTTTCCTTCTTTCTCAAAAAGTTAAATTATAAGCAGTACAAGTTTTTCTCTTCTCATAAAAATATCTAGTTTTTCTATCCGTTCCATAGTCATTATTCACAACCCTGCAATCACTTAAATGTCAGTATTTGTCTGTCTGTCTGTCTGTCTACCTACCTACCTACCTACCTACGTGTGTGTGATATACAAAATGGCTATTATTGAGAATTTAATCATAAAAGTGTCAATGTTGGGCTGGGAAGGTGGCTCAGTGGTAGAGTGCTTGCCTTGCATGCATGAGGCCCTGGGTTCGATTCCTCAGCACCACATAAGCAAAAAGAAAAAAGCCGGAAGTGGCACTATGGCTCAAGTGGTAGAGCGCTAGCCTTGAGCTGCAGAGCTGAGGGACAGCACCCAGGCCCAGAGTTCAGGCCCCATGACTGGACCCCCCCCCCCCCCCCCCCCCCGCCAAAAGAAAGTGTCAGTGTTATTCAGGTGCCAGTGGCTCACGCCTGTAATCCTAGTGACTTAGGAGGCTGAAATCTGAGGATAGTGGTTCAAAGCCAGCCAGGCAAGAAAGTCCATGAGTCTCTTATCGCCAATAAACTACTCAGAAAAAGCCAGAAGTGATGCTGTGCTCAAGTGGTAGAGTGCTAACCTTGAGCACAGAGAAGCTCAGGGACAGAGTCCAGGCCCTGAGTTCAAGCCCCAGGACCAGCCCAGTAGCTCACGCCTGTAATCCTGGCTATTCATGAGGCTGAGATCTGAAGATCACGGTTCAAAGCCAGCCTGGGCAGGAAAGTTTATGAAACTCTTATCTCCAAGAAGCTACCTCCAAAACAGACACAAGTAGAGCTGTGGCTCAAGTAGTAAAGCACTAGCCTTGAGCACGAAAGCGTAGGCCCTGAGGTCAAGCCCTAAAACTGGTACGTACACACACACACACATACACACACACACACACACACACACACACACGCACACGCATGCATGCACACACACACAGTGTGTGTGAGAGAGTGTTTTCTGCTATAGGTTTCATTCAGGCTATTACAATCAATAGCATGTGAATAAACCAGCTTTTTTCGTAGGGGGAAAAGAGAGTACTAATTTGTATTGTTTACCAAATTCCATGGTATAAACATCCCCTCTGGGGATGATTTCACCTACCATCAATTTAATAACTACAGTTCTTACCAATTTAACAACTGGCTCAAGCCAGTTGAAACCAGCTCCAGAATACCAGTGAGACACAAATCAAGAGATAAGTCCACTGGGACATGATAAATTCTGCAGGACTCTGGGCATTCTCACACAGTGAGAATTCTTGTTCTTGTTTTTTCTTCTTGTTTGTTCATTTATCTGTCTTTGAGAAAGTTGGGGGCACAGAAATGGAAAAAGGTGAACAAAGTGGCACTCACTATACACTATATGGAAAATGAACTATACAACTTGTGGGTAGGGATGAGAGACACAAGGGAAGGGATGACATTGTCCAAAGACAGATGTACTCTTTACTTGATTTATATAACTTATGCAACATATGTGTAACCCCTCTGTACATCATCTTTATCATAATACAAATAGAAAAGATAAAAAAAATTAAAAGATAAGTCACAGGTCTCTTTTTGGTTTGGTTCATTGTGTCTGAATTGCTGTAGGTCCCGTCATATGTGAAGCAAGAGCATTTAAATCCTTTGTCCCAGAATGATGCTTATTTAAATTGTAGTCATAATAAACAGTATGTGATTTAAAAGTATTCCATAACATGAGGTTATATGTTATTTTAAGGTCATATTAAATGCAACCATAACAATATAATGTAATTTTTTAAAAGTTTATATTGCTCTGGTGGAGAGTTTATTTGATTTGAAAATTCTTTTTGTAGTATTGTAAAGCATATGTAAAAATAATTTAGTCATGATATTTGAACCTGAATACAAAAAGACACAGTTTGAAATGGTGTTTGCTTACTATTATTAAAATGTGACTTCTCTTACAGGTATTCAAGAAGGAACACAATGTACCAAATGTAAAAATAACTGGGCACTGAAGTTTTCTATCATATTATTATACATTTTGTGTGCCTTGCTAACCATCACAGTAGCCATTTTGGGATATAAAGGTAAGGGCCTTTTCATTTCTCCTTCCAAATAGCAAGGAAATTCCAAAATTCATCTTTTGCTGATTACAGGCCCATTCCTGTAATCCTAAGTACTCCAGTGGCTGAGATCTGAGATAGAGGTTCAAATCCACGTCAGGCAGAAAAGTCCATGAGACTCTTTATGTACAGTTAACCACCAAAAAACTGGAAGTGAATCTGGGCACTGGTGGCTCACGTCTGTAATCCTAGCTACTCAAGAAGCTGAGATCTGAGGATCGTGGTTCAAAGCCAGCCCAGACAGCACAGTCCATGAGACTCTTATCTCCAATAAACTACTCAGAAAAAAGCTGGGAGTGGTGCTCAGCTCAAGTGGTAAAACGCCAGCCTTGAACACAAAAACTAAGGGACAGCCCTCAGATCAAGCCCCCTCCAGCATACACAAAAATTTCATTAAGTTAAGCATAAAAAAAACTCACCTTTGCAGATATGAAGTGCAGTCACCTGTCGATGTCCATGGGGAATTAGTTCTATGTTCCCCTCCCCAAGTCTTCAGAAACTCTGGATGTTTGACTTCCTTAAGTGAAATGGTGAAGTATTTTTTCAGAACGCACACATCTCCTCATATTCTTTCTCTTGAAAGTCTCTATGTGATGTATAATTATGTAAAGGTTATAGAAATAGGTGTTTTACTGAAGTGCTTAGAGAATAATTCATGGAAGAATGTCTGCTTATAGCTTTGGATATCCAAGAGGAGAAGCAGTGGTTTCTTTTGACTCATTTCAACAACACTAATGGTCCTACATGGGTTGTAAAGATCGTGTTCCTCTTTGTTGTTTTATCTTACCTATTTCTAGCTATTCTATCTGTTTTTTCCCATCTTGCTTCTAAGAGGCTCCTGGAAACCCAGGAGTCAGCAGATGGGAAAACAAGATCTCCAGAGATTCAGCTTACTCATGCAGGGATTGGCCTTATCTATCTCTTTGTATTTACAGTTGGCTACTGTTGCTTAAATAGCTCCATAAAAATACTGCACACATTTCTACCTTACAAAAAAGTTAAGCCAGCTGGGCACCAGTGGCTCACTCCTGTAATCCTAACTACTCAAAAGCTGAGATATGAGGATTGTGCTTCAAAGCCAGCCCGGGCAGGAAAGTCCAAGCAATTAACAAAAAGCTGGAAGTAAAGCTCTGGCTCAAGTGGTAGAGCACTAGCCTTGAGCAGGAAAGCTTAGGGGCAGTGCCTAGGCCCTGAGTTCAAGCCCTAGGATGGGTTCATGTGCACACACATATGCACGTGTGCACATACACACAGGTTTGGACAACACCTGTCTGACTTCAGGTAACAGTAGTTGTTGCCCAAATCCTCCCAATTTATAGAACGAGTACGTCCTCCTCAGCCCTTCCCTATCCTTCCCAGACATCACAGGAAGCAGGTGTACTGGTTCAGAATCACCAAGGGTACATGTCCTTTTATAGAACCTAGCATGGAAGTCTATCTTAAAGTCATGACACAGACATATCTGTCCGTTTGCCACACAGGGTCATATTAGTATTTGTTCATCTTCAAAACCTCCTCCCAGTAGCCACCTCAGCTGCCTTCCCTCAGATCTGTGGATTAACCAAGCCAGATATGTACCTGCTTTTTTCCCTGTCCCTCAGCCTATGAACATGACATAGGAAAAATAAGACCAGAGTGAATTCCCTCTGCTGTGATTCCTCCCCACCAGTCCCCATGCTTGATGGGCTCCTAAGGAAACATAGTACATTGGAATTAGAAGGGGCCTCAATCCTGGCCAGTCAAAATTTAAATCTGGGTCCAACTGAGCTTAACATATCTGTGGATATTCGGTATGTGTTTGCTTCATGTGCCTGCCTAGTTCTATAACCTGGGTACTGATCATCACACCTTAAAGGTTCTGATTGCATTTTGTAAAATGGCCATCATAGTAATTTGAGATGAGCCAAGACAAAGTAATAGAATCCATCTAGTCCTATGATTGGTCCCAGTAGATAATGGTTAGATTCTTCCTCCCTCCTCTTCCTTCCTTCCGTACCTTGCTTTGAACTCAGTCTGGTGCTTGTTATGTAAGGGATCTGTCATGCACCATCCCCTTTTTGCCCTTAGGGTATTTATTCAGACAAGCTCTTTTGGCTAAGCTGGACCTTGGATGGCAATCCACCTACATATCTTTCCACATAGCTGAGATTGCAGGTGTGGGCCACCCTCCCCCTCCACCCCCACTTCAGTTTGCTTGTTAAGTTCAGGTCTAGCTTTTATCCCAGCCAGCCTTGAATCATGATCCTTCCAAGTAGCTGTCCCTTCTTCCTTGTTATGCGAATCATGATCCTTCCAAGTAGCTGTCCCTTCTTCCTTGTTATGCAGCACTAGCTATTCGACCTGCCAGTCTTGTTAAAGTCCTCAGTACAGTCCATGATTTTTAGCCCCCAACCTAAAGCCATATTCATGGGAAGCATCATGCATGAGTGAATGTATTGGCTGATGAATTGGGGCAATGAGAACTTGGAAACTTTCCAGGCCGTTTTATCCATGTTCAGTGAGTTCCTGCAACCTGGAGTCCCACAGTTTTCAGATGAAGCAGCAGAGTATGTGATTAAGAAAGGCTTTTAAGTCCTGACCAGGGTTAGGCCAAGGGGCAGGAGGGGAACCTACATAGGAAGGGAGGGTGCCCTGTGTCCAGGTCCAGATAGCCTTCTTGTTCCCCAGATTATTTAGGCCATTACTCACTTCTCCATGACTACTTAGTGACAAGTGTGAAGTCAAGCAGCCATTTAAGTACTTTCAGGGCTCAATACTACCCAGTGATACTGTGAGAATAAGCATTTACTGCTAGAAACAGTATGGGAATATGTAACATTTTGTGATTTTTTTTTAACCTCTGCTTGGAAATAAGAGCTAGGATCTTTATGCCATCAGAGTCATACAAAAATTTCTAAACAAAGGGTTTCTTTTTTATTTTTGTTTGGTTTGGTTGTACTAGGATTTGAACACTTGGGTCTTAAGCTTGTTAAGCAGGTGCTCTACCACTTGAGATACATCGCCAGCCTCTTCTGCTTTAGTTGTTTTTCAGATAGGGTCCTGCTTTATGGCTGGGGAGCCTGGACGGCAATCCTCCTATTTTTGCTGCCCACACAGCTGGGATGTCACACCTGTACCAAGAACAAAGCTTCTTATTGGTTGAGATAGGGTCTTGCAAACTTTTTGCTAGGGCTGGCCTTGAACTGTGATCCTACTCACTAATAGGCAGGATTATAGGGTTGAACCACCATACTTGGATATTTCTTTTTTTGATTTATTAAGGTTTTCCCCCCATTTTACCCATTGGAAGTCCTCCAGCTCTAACATATGTTAGTATGCTGTCCGTTTGCCTGGAGCCCCTTTGGCCTGTTCTCCACCTACATTGCTCCTTCTTGCTCTTCCTGGATCATTTAAAGCCATCTTTCCTCCAAAGTACTCTTCCTTTACTCTTAGTCCTTTTGCTCTGTGTCATTATGGCCCAGGTGTCTAGTTTGTCTTATTGATGGATAGGCACATGGGTAGGTGGGTGGGATAAATGGAAGGAAGGGAAGGAGGAAGGAAAGAAAGGAAGGAATGGGAAGAGGGAGGGAGGGAGGGAGGAAAGAAAGGAAGGGAGGGAGGGAGGAAGGAAAGGAAGCAAGGGAGGAATGAGGAAGCTGTGTGATTAATAGATGGATGAATGGATGGATGGGTGGATGTTTATGTGAATAGATGATAGAGGTAGATGTTTGGATGGTGGATTAGGCCTGATTTCTATAAAGATAAACAATTGATGCCCCAGGTACCTGTAAGCAATCTGCAGATAAAGGACCACTGCCCCCTCAAAGCCCTACCTAGAAACCTCAAACTTGGAGATCAGCTTGGCCTGCCCTGTGGAATATTACCAATGTGAAGGGAGAAGAGCTCTGGGGAGGAAATATAAGAGGAGCAAGATGGCATCTTGCCCCTTGTTCCCCTCCTTTAATGCTTCTATTCCTCAGGCCTTCAACAAAAAAGAAGAAAATACAACTTGTACTTCCTGGTTTCCAAACCCAACATCAAGGAACAAAATGTTGATATTTTCCAGATGTACTTTCTCCTTACATGTACAGAGATTCCTCTTTGTTGCTGATAAGATTCTGGAGAACTAATACTGCAACAGGGCGAAAGATTAGAGAAATTCTCCCTTCCCACACCTCCTTTTAATGGCGGAAAAAGTACTCTCCACAAAATGAGTGGGGAGGGAAAGAAGAGAGAGAGAAAGGCTGGTGGTGGGGGAGAAAAGAGAAGGAGAGAGGAAAGGGACAGAGAGAGGCAGGAAAAGAAAGAAATACACTGAAAGAGGTGTAGGGATGTGTTTCTCTGCAGGAGAAGCGGGAGGAAATGAGACTCCTGTATTAGAGCTGGTGAACACAACTCCACACAGCTTCTTCCTGGCCTATCCGTCCCTCAACTGTGAGTTAGGATGTAGGAAGTTTCTACTGAAGAGTTCCTTGGCGGAACGAGCTAGAGAATGGCTTAGTCACCAGACAGGGCAGTAGAGAGCTGAAGTACCAACAACTCAGCAGATACTCATTCTTGGGCAGGTGTAGCTTGGTGCATCCTCCACCTGGGCCATTAATCAGTGGATCCTTCATGACAGGGACCATCTAATTCACCGAGTCATGTTTCCTCCAAAATATTTCCTGAACAGGAACATCCTACCCCATTGCCCTGCCCCACAAACTGTCTTGCTAAGGACGGTTAAAAACAGAGTCAGAAATCTGAATTTTGCTCGATAAGAGCATCCTCTAAGCTATGTGTGGTGTCCATGCCTGTAACTCCAGCTGCTTGAGAAGATCTGGAGATAGCAAAGGTTCAAGGCCACCTGGGCAAAAAAGTAAGCCCCATCTCAGTCAATAAACTGGATTTGGTGGTTCATGCCTATAATTCCAGCTCTGTGCGAAGTGTGAATGGGATTGTATCCAGGCCAACCTGGACAAAAAAAATGTGAGACCCTGTTTGAA